TCAGTTATGTTATCTTAAAAATAAAATAAAAATTAATAAATTTTCTTCAAATTATTTAAAAAAAAAAAAAATAAATAAAAAAAAAAATAAATAAATAAAAGATGCACTACCCGGGAATCGAACCCGGATCTCCACCTTGGGAGGGTGAAATTCTACCATTAGACCAGTAGTGCTTCTTAATATATTTCTTTTTATTTATTAATATTTCATTATATTAATATTTACATTAATAAAATATATAAAATCATTCATAAACACAAAATACTTACAATGTAATATGTTTGTCTTATTAGTAAAATCTTTTCATATGATAAACAATAACTGAAATAACATAATAAAATAATTAACCATTAAAATTTATTAATTTTTTTTATCCTTAATTCATCTTTCTTGGTTTTTCTATTTGAAATAAAAAGTAGATAAATAAGTATTAGTTTTATTTTATATAACTCTTTGTTTAGTAGTGAACAATTAAATCATTATGTTTTAATAATCTTTATTCATCTTTCTATTGTTATTTATTTTTTAATTTCTTGAGAAAGTGATTTTTTGTTTATTATTCTTTTTTTATTTCTTTTATTGTTTTTTTTTTCATCTTTTGTTTTCTTTTTCTTATTTATCTCTCATTTATTCATTTTTAATATTTCTTTCATCTTCTTTATTTTCTTATTTTTATTGTTTATATCTTTATCACTGTATTATTATATTTATTTCCATTTAACATCTTCATCAAATTGTTCATTTTTCATTATATACTCTTATATTCATTTCATTATCAAATATACTTTCAACATGATATCATCATTTTATAAACACATATCTTCTATTATAACAAACAACATTCCATCAACACAATAATAAACATTTTTAATCTTATAATAATGATTAATATAAATTCTAACTAATTTCAATTTCATAATCCGATGATAACTAATAACTTTGATTCATTTTAATTATTGTATGATATCTCTGAATTGCAATATTTGAGTCCCAATTATTTAACAACGAAAAGAAATGAAACAAGACAAAGTAATATTTTAATGATAGAGGAAAAAAAGGTTAATTAATACCCACGATTGGATTGTCTTCATATTGAGAAGTAATTACCTCAGCTTTTTCAAAAGTTCTACTTCTGTCATAAAGTCCCTTTCCAACGAACTCAAATAAGAGTGTTTTTCTTCTAAAATATTATCAGAGTTTCATGGGTAAAATGTTAGGTTTTTATTGAATGATAAAAAGATTAATGAAATAAAAATAATTTATTTTTTGTTTTTAGATGAATAAACAAATAAATGTTTGTGTTATTTCAATCAAAAATAATAAGAATGAGCAGAAATTAATTGTCATTGATTGATAAAGAGAATTGACAATAGAAGCAAAATATAAAAAATAAGAATAAGTTAATGATTAAATAATAATGAGTATAATGAAATTAAATAAGTATACTACAGTATAATAAAAATAAATATTTGATTTAACATTAACAGGTTTATTTCATTTATTAATTATTCAATAATCGTATGTGGTTATATTATACATATCCAATTCTTATTTTTATCATGAATTTCATATAAACTAATTATTAGTATTAGTTAGGATAAAATAAAGAAGGTAAAAGAGTAATTAATAAAAAAAATTGTATTTACTGAAAATAATTTATAACATAATAATACAAACAAGAAATGAAATAACTTTTGATAATTCAATATTTGTTCATTCAAAATATTAAAATTTTGTGAAAAAAAATATAATTTAATTTCTAAATCGAGTTTTAAATAAAGAGGAAAAATTGATGAAGTTAAAATTATTTTAAGTTCAAATTAAATAAAAGAAGAATGGAAAATACAATAAAAAATGATAAAGAAAGAATGAAATTATGGTATCACTCAGTAATGATAATATCAGTGTATTTTGGTGATATTAAAGAATTTATTAAAATAGAAATCTGAGTTAAAAGATTTCAAGGAAATATTGAACGATTTCATTTTAATCCAATTCCTTTAAATGAACATTCAAGAAAATTCTTTCCTAATACTGAAACATTTCATATTTATAATGAAAATGATAAAATATTTAATGATGGAAAGATATTTAAATATGTAATATGGTATACAATCGGTTATTCAAGATATTTACAAGAAAAAGAAGAATGAAATAATGAAAAATATAGAATTTACATATGCTAAGTATATCATTAGAAGATAAATCTCTTAGAAATAATTTTGTTTTATTGGTTTTTATGAACTAACATTAACTAATAATGAATTTATTTTTTTAAATGTAGTTATAAAAGAATGAGTTAGGACATAAGAGTATTAAGGAATATTTTATTAATACCATCAATAAAACTATAAAAAAATATAATTAATACGGAATTATATATAAAATAATAATAATAATAATAATAATAATAATAATAATAATAATAATAATAATAATAATAATAATAATATTATTATTATTATTATTATTATTATTATTATTATTATGAAAAATATATAAACTAATCTTATATTAACAAATAAATGTGAAAGATATTAACAATGTTATAATATTATAACCATATCAATGAAATAATAATAATAATCAGAGTCACTTTATTATTTATCATCATGATTATCAATACAATAATACAATTTTAAATGAAATAATTTATAACAAAAAAAAGAGTTTCAATACTATAAACATAAACAGATAATTTAAACAGAGTGTTTAATCATTACCACTATGAGAATAATCAAGATAAATAAAGATATAAAATTAGAATATTATGATGAAATAATATGATAATAAAAGTGAATATAAATTAAAATAATAAGAACATAGTGCATTATAAATCGAAAGAAAACAATGAAATAATGGAAATGAAGAAGATAAATAATAATGAAATATAGAAGAGATTTTATAAATCATGTGGTAAAAGAATTAATAAAAATGAATTTAATGAAATATATCAAATTATACAAAATAAGAATGACATACCTAAACTAATAAAAATTTTAAAGAATAAATATATTAAATATATTAAATTGAAATTAAATAATGTAAATAATCATTTAATAAAATACAATAAACATGAATGTTAAGAAATTATCATTTAAAACAATGAAGAGTATTAATATAAAAGAAATTAATATAATTATTAAAATTAATACAAGAAAATGATACATTTGTTTAAATAAACAAAACAATAATTACAAATTAAAATAATGTAATATTTTTAATTATAAAATAACACTAATCGAACATATATTATTAAAATTGTATTGTAAACAAGAAGGTGCAAATTGATAACCATGAATTGATAAATAAATATATATCAAGAATAACTAATATAAAATATAAAATAGATATAATAAAAAATGAAGAAACAGAAAATAAAATGAAACTCATCTTCAATAAAATCAAATAAGTAGAATTAAAAGAAGAATAGAAATAATGAAGTGTTTAAGGCATTGAAACAAGAAATATTAATAAAATTGAATAATCCATAAATATTATTATATTCATATAGAAGATTAATAAGAATAATAAATGAAATGATAAAAAGATAAATCTAATATCTAATCATAAAGTGTAAATTATAGAAATGGTTAAGATAAAATAATACAAAATTAATAAATAATAAAAGTAATATCAGTAATAATAACAATAAATAGAATAATTAATAAAGAAACAGTAAGAATAGTAAAAGAACATTGTATTAAAACATTATGAAATAATGATAAAATAGATTCAACAGATATAAACATGAAATACATAATGAAATAATGTGGATACCACTGAGATGAACATACTTTATAGAAGTACTTCATGAACAATACACTCAATAGAATAAATATAATGTCAATAAATAAATTGAAATAGAAAAATGAAAGATATTGAAATTTAATTTCGTAAGTATTTAAATGAATTTTGCATCACTAATTTGAAATTTAAAGGATAAGAATAAAAAAAAAAAGAAAATAAATTTATAAATAATGATATTTATTTGAGTTATAACAAAAAAAAAGAAGAATAAGTTAAAAAGATGAGAAAAACAAATAATACAATATAGATTAAAAAAAGAAAAGAGAAAAATGAATTTTATAATAAATTGCATCATTCTTTCAATAGTTCTGTCATTAAAAAAGAAGAATAAACTGAGAAATAGTCAATTAAGATGAATATTTTTACAAGTACAGTAAAATATTTAAATGAGTATTTGTATTGTTCAATTAATTTTGTTGGAGAGAGTCATGAAGTTTTAATACCATATAAACAAAGAAATAATTCATTACCAGGAGATGAAGTATCAGTTGCAATACAACCAATTAAATATTGGAAAATAGAAGGAGGTGATGAAGATAGTTTAGAAATAGAATATAGTCAATTATTTTTTAAAGAAAAGAAATATAATAATATGGTAGAATTAAATTATAATGAAATCAATAGTTTAAGTGAATTAATTGAGTTAATTTTAAATAGAAAAGAATATAATGGACATAAACTTCAACCAACATGTGAAGTAATATATATTGAAAGATATGAAAAATATAAAGATATTACAGGATATATTGAATATGGAGTATTTTGGCCAGATGATAATGGATTGTGTTCATTAAAATGTAATCAAGAAATTGAAGGGTGTCATGTTATTGGAGACATTGATAGAGAAGAAAATATATTTATTTTTAAAAGAATTATTAAAAGTGGTAATTGTTATGATTTTTCTGAAAAAATTCAATCACTAAAACAAAACAATTTTCAACAACTAATTTATTATGATGAAATAAAAATTTCTCAAAGAGTTTTACAAAAAATAAATCAATTAATTAAAGAACAACAATACAATGATTATTCATCATTAATGACAATTACTATTGATAGTACTAATACACAAATGTGGGATGATGCAATTCATATAGAAATGGTAGATAAAAATATTGTTAATTTAGGAATTCATTGTGCAAATTATATTATTGAAATGCAACCATCATCAAAAGAACTTAAACAAATTGAAAGAAAGTTATTTCAAAGAGAAAGACAAAAAATTGTATCAAAAACAAAAGTAAATAAATATGTTTTTGATACAAATAAAAATTGTAAAGCATTTTCTATTATTTTAAGATATAATTTAAATACACATGAAGTTGAAAGTATTTATGGTGGAACAACTTATATTACAATAAAAGCTCATTTTACTTTTGATTCATTTACTAAATCTATTATTTATAATACATTAATGGATGAAAGAATAAGTAACACAGTAAATCAAGACTATTTATTTTCAAATATGATTTATTTAAGTGATTTTGTTAAAAATAATTTTCATTATCATGAACATAAAGGAAATGGAATTGGAGAAACAATTATTAAACAATATGGTCGTTTTTTCTCAGAAAAAATAGGAGAATTATTACATGAAAAATATGGTAATTTAGCTATTGTTAAAAGAGATAAAAATGTTTTTATTGCATCATTTAGAAGTCCATTAAGAAAAGCAAAAGATGTTTTTGTTATTAGACAAATTTATTCTGCAATTTTAAACTTATCAAAAGAAGAAATGATATATTATGTATGTGGTGGTAATGAAAAGAAATTTAAAACAATATTTCAATTATGAATTTAATTTAATTTATTTATTTGAAAAAAAAAATTTATATTTTTTTTATTTTAATGATTTAAAATTGAATTAATTGTTTTTATTCTTCTAAAGCAACAACTGGATAACATGCAATAATATCTGTCATTTTTGGTATTTTTACTAATATTTGTCCTTTGTTGATTGGTGCTTTAATTGGTGATTGTTTATGAATAATTTCCATTACTTCAAATATTTTTGATCGTGGTACTGGTTTAGTTAATTTGACTGGTACTCTCATCAAATTTCCTCCTTCTACTGGAAGAGTTGTTGAAAATACTCTAAATGGTTCTATATGTTCTTGTCTTACATAAGCAGCTCCTCTTGGACATGAATTTCCTTTAATTGATGTAATTTCATTTGATTTAGCATCAATTTTAACTTCAATTGGACATCCTCTTGGACATACAATACAATTCATATGTTTTACTATTTCTCCTTCTTTTTGTTCTATAACTTCTTCATGTGGTTTAGGAATAACTGTAAGTATAACTTCTTGTCCAATTTGACAATCTTTAGGAATTACCCAAACATGTCCCATTTCTGCTGGAATAGCATGTTCAATTTCTTCTTCTCCAATAATAGTTTCTCCTACTTTTGCTATAACATGAGCACTTCCAAAGTCTTGTTTAAATCTAAATGATAATTTTTGTTTCTTATCACTAATAACAACTCTTTCTGGTACACAATAAAGAAGTTCTGGTGCTGGAATAACTTTAATTGATTCTTTTTCTCCTCCTACTGAAAGTGCTGCTGCTTCTCCTGCAATAGCTCCTTCATTTGATGCTTCATCTGCAAGATCATGTACATGTAATTGATTACCAGCTGCATAAATACCTTTCTCAACACATCTAAATCCATCTACAATTGGTCCTCTAGTTCTTGGATTTAATTGTACATTATGTCCAGCTTGTTGAGTTAAATCTGGTTGAGGAATAAGTCCAACAGATAACAAAAGACAATCACATTCAACTTCATATTCTGTTCCTGCAATTGGTGCAAGTGTTTTTGGATCACATTTTGTCACTGTTACTGAAGTAAGACGTGGATATCCATTAATTCTAGTAACAACTTCTGATAAATGAATTGGAATATTAAAGTCTTTACAACATTGTACTACATTTCTTTGTAATCCAGAAATTTTTGGAAGAATTTCATAAACTCCAAGTACTTTAGCTCCTTCAAGAGTCATTCTTCTTGCCATAATTAATCCAATATCTCCAGATCCTTGAATTATAACTTTCTTTCCTGGAAGAATTCCTTTATAATTAACTAATGCTTGTGCAAGTCCTGCTGTCATAACACCTGCACATCGAGTACCTGCTACTTTAATACCAAATCTTGATCGTTCACGACATCCAACTGTAAAAATACATTTCTTTGCATGAATTTCAACTGGTGATGTTCCATAAACAACTGCTTTGACAACATATTCTTCTCCTTTATTTTCAACATCTGTAACATATGTATTTACCATAAAAACTGCTCCTGCAGCTTTAGTTTCTTCACCAAGTCTATATGCATATTCTGGTCCTGATAATTCTTCTCCATATCTTCCAAGTCCAAACCCTGAATGAATACATTGTAATAAAACTCCTCCAACTCTATCCATACGTTCAATAACAGCAACTCTAAGGTCTTTCTTTGTATCAAGTGCTGCTTTAGCTGCTGCAAGTCCAGATGGTCCACCTCCTACAACTACAATATCAAATTCTTTTCGTTCAATAGTTTCATCATTACATGGTTTAGTAATATGTGGTTCTGGGATTGTTTCCCATGATGGATATTCTTCTTCTGTAAGTTTCTTTTCTTCTCCACCAGCAATATATGGTGCTATTTCTGATCCTGGATAATTCTTTGCAACAGCAGTCATTGGAATATTCAATCTTTTTGAAAGAATTTCCATAACTCTTGGAGTACAATATGATCCTTGACATCTTCCCATACCAGCTCTAGTTCTTAATTTAACTGCATCTACAGTTCTGGCTCCTTCATCAATTGCAGCATTAACATCTCCTTCTGTAACCTTTTCACAAACACAAACTATTTTAGAATATGCTGCATCTTTTTTAGCAGCTTCAGCTCTTTCAGAATCAGTCATATTTCTGAATTTCTTACTTAAAGGTACATATTTGAAATCATTTTTCTCTTCTAATACAATCTCTGGATGTGACTTTTTAACAGCTTCAACAAAAATGTTTTTAGTGTATTCAGCAATAGCTGGTGATGCAGTAAGTCCTGGTGATTGAATACCAACAACTTCAATGAAACATGGGAATTTCTCATTCTCTCTAATAACAAAATCATTATGTTCAACAATTGCAGGTCTTAATCCAGCAAATGCAGAAATGACATCTACACTATTAATTGTTGGAACAAGTAATTTTGCAAGATCAAATATCTTCTTTAACCCTTCACTAGTTGTAGTTTTATCAGTGTAAGATTCTTGATTGTCAGCAGTTGGTCCAACCATGATAGTACCATCAACTGTTGGAATAATAAGAGTACCTTTTGTTACTCCTGTTGGACATGGGAAAATAACATGTTTAACCATTCCTTGTAACTTTCTATCTAATAAATATTCTTCTCCTTTTCTTGCTGTAATATGGAAATCAGCTGGATATAACATTTCTGAGACTTGTGAAGCAAAAACACCAGCACAATTTAATAAAACTTTAGTAATGAATTTCTTTCCATTTTCACAAACAACTTCATACCCATTATCAATCTTCTTAATTCCATTAACACTAGTGGAAGTGTAAATATGAACACCATTAGCTTTAGCAGTAAGACAAGTTGCAATAGTAAATTCATAAGGATCAAGAACAGAAGTAGTTGGACAATAAATAGCTTTCTTAATGTTTTCACTCAAATTTGGTTCTTCTTTATGAATTCTTTCATAATCCCATAATTCAACTGGAACGTTTTTAGTTTTAGCAATTTCCATGTATTTATTTAAATTAGGTATTTCTTCATCAGTTTTAGCAACCATCAACTCCCCACAAGTAGTAAGACCAAAGTTAAGTTTTGGTTGGAGTTCATGGATAAGAGTGTTTCCTCTTACTACAAGTCTTCCTTTCAACGTTTCTAATGTAGTGTCAATACCACAATGAACAATACCAGAGTTAGCAGAAGTAGCTCCAGTAGAAACGTCTCTAGCCTTTTCTAACAAGGCAATCTTAAGATTCTTGTATTTAGACAATTCCATAGCACAACAAGCACCAGCACAACCAGCTCCAATAATGACAACATCATACGAAGACATGTTTAATTTTTTTAAATGAATATGTTTTTAATAAGTCCGAGTTTATATAATACAGGTCTCGTGGGTAGAAGATTCCACTGCTAAAATGAGAATTTCTTCTTGTGATTCTCTTTTCTTATATCTACTTTCTTCTGTTTCTCAATAATTTTCTATAAGATTTGTTTTAAAATTCTTTAACGTGGCACCAACTTTTGTAAAAGCGAAAATTAAGAAAAATAACAATTATTCTATTCAATTCTATTCTTCTTTTGGAGAGTAAAAAATCAAAGTAACTTTCTGGAAGTTTTCAAAAAGTTGAAGTTAATAGTAAAAATACTGTATTTTATATTGAATTATTAGAAATGATACATTGAATTTCAACTGAAATTCGATGATTCTCTATTTTTTTAAATAAGTTAGAAAAACAAAATAATACTTAAAAATAATAATAGTTCACAATAAAAATTGTTATTTATTTTCAAAGAAAAAAGAATTAAAGAAAGATACAATTCATTTGTTGAGTAAATAAAATTCTGTATCATTTTCTTCTTAATAGATTTAAATTATAATAGAAAATGATAGGATAGTTTTAGTAATTAATGTTTTTTTATATTATACTTAATGATATTCAATAATTATGAAATATTAGTTACAATTTATTCTTATTCATATTTCATTGTTTTAAAACGCATTATTACTTATATGGAATCATCTAAACACAGATTGAATCAATACCCATTCTAATTGGTATAATTTATAATTATAAATTATCAGAGTTAAGATATGTTAAGTTTGATTATGGCTGAAAATATTAATATAACTTTGATTGTTTATTTTGAAGTATCTTTCGTTTTATCATAACAACTGTTAAATACTAAGAATTCAAATTAAAGTTTATGAATTTGAAATGCATTCTTGAGATACTTGAATTGATGAGTGTTTGATGATTTTATTCATTTTTAATAATCATATGTTTCTTTTTCATACCTTTATAATAGTATAAATAAGTATTGTATCTAAAAAACATTACAAATACAATTTAAACTTTTAAAGTCTTTTAAATGTTCATTATTCTTTCATTGTTGTGAAATAGAATAAAAAGATTTAGAATGTTGTTAATGAAGTTATGTATTTAAAACAATAATAAAATTGGTAAATAATCATTCAAGAAATAAAATAATACTCTACACTCTTTGTATGTCTTCTCTCATATTTACTTTTAATATTTAATTCATAATTACCATATCAATACTAAAAAAGAAAGATTAAAAAAACCATAATCAAATAATTGAGATGATAATGATTTCAAAACTCAGAATTTACTAATAGAAATAACCAACTCAATATGAATAAATAAATAACTTAACATTTAATATAAACATAGTATACTTCTCTATTATACATTACTTGTTTATGAAATAATTATAAAATTGTAAATTGATAGACATATTTATTAACACTTTATGATATGAAATTGTCCTAAAAGAGTATTGTTGATAAAAAGAATGTCATTAAAAACAAATGAAAAGGAGATAATTTCAAAAGTGATATTAAAGAATGAATAGTTTCTAACCTAAATTATTGTTTGATGTATTCAATGATATTTCAATGATAATTTATTGAAATTGATAAATACTTAATGAAAGAATCAAATGTACAATTACCAATAAACACAGAAAAGAATAAATAAAATGAAAGAGAATAAATTTTAAAGGAAGAATAAAAGAAAAAAGATAAATAAATAAAAAAATAAAAAAATAAATTCAAATTCAAATTCAAGTATTTTTAAAAAAAAGAGAAAGATAAAAATAATAGAATTAATTGTAAATTAAATTTAATTACTAAGAAGAGATTTCTTTTCTAAATCATCATCATCATCAGAACTTTCAGATGATGAAGTCACAATATCTTTCTTATCACAAAATCCACAACAAAGGATTTTTGTAAGGAATGATGGTTTATTTTTAAATTTCTTTGGTTTAGATGTAGGTACAGGAATAAAGAAAGAAATTTGACCAATGATTAAAGTTATAAAAGAAAGAAGAAGAGATAATAACCAAGCTTGCCATGAAAGTCCATATTGACCTTGTAAAGGAATAAAAGGAATACCATCAAATAAAATACCAAGGAATTGAACAATAATAAATTGAACAATAATAGTAATAGCAATAATTGATAAGAAAATAAAGTTTGTAAAGAGATTAGAAAAGACATTATGTTCACCATTTACTTTTCTTGAATTAAATTCATTAAAGACTTGACAAAAAACAAAAATATTAAATATTAAAGTTTGAAGTTTAATAGTATCATTTTTAACATCATTAATACTCTTAAAACCAATATTATCACCAACACAATATTTACTAAAATCTTCACCACCAGAATGACCAACAATTTTAACAAAACCACAAGGCGAATTAAGGAATGGAATATATTTTCCAACAAAAACAATTGATAACATAATAATTAATTGATAAATAGTTTGAATAATAATATTTCTTATCATAATATTTGAAATAAGTGAATTAAATCTACCAAATGGTTTTCTATTTAATAATGAATCTGTTGGTTTTTCTGTTCCAAGTGCTAAAGCTGCCATAGTATCCATAATTAAATTAACCCATAACATTTGAAGTGCATTTAATGGTGATTCACCAATAAATATAGAACCAATAACACAAAGTGAAAGTGCTGAAATATTAACAGTTAATTGGAATTGAAGGAATTTTCTAATATTATCATAAACACATCTTCCCCATTTTATTGAATTAACAATTGATTGAAAATTATCATCTAAAATAACAATATCTGATGCTTGTTTAGCTACATCAGTTCCTCTAATTCCCATAGCAAGTCCTACATCTGCTGCTTTAAGTGCTGGTACATCATTTGTTCCATCTCCTGTAACTGCAACAACTTCTCCTTGATTAATAAGTAATTTAACAAGTCTTTCTTTATCTTGTGGTGAACATCTTGCAATAACTCTAAGATTTTCTAATTTTTCAATAATTTCTGAATCTGTTAATTCTGCAAATTTAGGTCCTTCTATTGCAATATCATTTTCTCTTGAAATAATATTACACTGTTGTGCAATTGATCTTGCTGTTGCTATATTATCTCCTGTTACCATTCTAACAATAATTCCTGCTCTTTGACATATAGTAACAGCTCTTGGAACTTCTCTTCTTACTGGATCTTCAATTCCAAATAAACTTAATAAAATAGATCCTTCTTCATTAGCACTTTCATATTTTTCTTCTAAATTATTAGGATTAGCTGGTGCCATGTCTTTATATGATAATGATAATGTTCTATATCCTTTAGATGCCCATTTTATTTGACATTCTTCAAGTTCTTGTCTAATTTCTTCTGTTAATTCTTTAATTTCTCCTTTTTCATTCATATAATATTTACATTTTTCTAAAATCATTTCTGGTGCTCCTTTTGTAAACATTCTAATAGTATTTGGTTTGTCTATCCAAACAAGTGTATTCATTCTCTTTTTAGTACTTGAAAATCCAAACATTTGATAAATATTATTTTCATTTCTTTTTCTAATTTCTAAATAATCAACTCCTCTTTCTTTTATATACATTAATAATGCTCCTTCTGTTTTATTTCCAATAACATTAATTTCTCCTTTTTCTTCAATTAATGATGTAGATGGTGAACTATTAATTGAAATATTCATATTAATTATTTCTTCATATTCTTTAGTAATTTCAATTCTTTGATCTCTTGTTTCCATTTTAATTCCTCCAAACCATCCATTTACAACTGTCATTCTATTTTCTGTTAATGTACCTGTTTTATCTGAACAAATATTAGTACAATTTGACATTGTTTCACATGCTTTTAAATGTCTTACTAAATTATTATCTTTAAACATTTGTTTCATTGAATATGCTAATGAAATAGTAACTGCAAGTGGAAGTCCTTCTGGAACTGCAACAACAATAATAGTAATTCCAATAATAAAATAATCAATAATTCCTGTTAATGAACTCCAATCAAATGAATATTTTTCACAATATTCTTCCCATTTTGGATTTTCTCTAGTAACATTACATTCAAGACATCCCTCAATAATTCCATTCTTTTCATCTGCTTTTAATACATCTTTATGTGTAATTTGTGATATTATATAATAAATACTTAAAATAATAAATACTATTATTCCACATCCTATTCCTAAATATCCTATTTTAATTGCAAGTTCATCTAAATTTTCTTGTAATGGTGTTGGTGTATTTTTATTTTGATTAATTGATTCCATTGTTTTTCCCCATAATGAATTTGGTCCTACTGCAACAACAAGCATTTTTCCATTTCCATCTGTAACTTTTGTTCCTGACATCATAATAAAATTTTCTTCTGTTTTTTTAATTGCAATTGATTCTCCTGTCATATTAGCTTGATCAATTCTAAAGATCATTCCCATGAATATAAATTCCATCAGCTGGAATAATATCTCCAACATCTAAATTAACTATATCTCCAACAGTTAAATTAAATATTGATATTTTTTGATTTTTTCCATTTCTAATAACTTTAATTCCAACATCTTTTTCTTCTTTTGAAAGAGCTAAAAATTTTTTTTGTTTAGAATAATCTGATACTGATCCTCCAAGTGAAACTCCAAGAACTGCAAGTAAAATAGCTATTCCTTCTATCCAATCTGTATTAATTTCTTTATTTTCTTCTTTTTCTTTATTTAAACATTTATTAACTGAATTAGGTACAACAAATGCTAATATTAATGATATAATTGCTGCAATAATAAGAATAATAAGTGTTTTGTCTTGAAGTGCTTCAAACCAAATTTTCTAAAATGGAATAATAATAGGATCTGGTGTTCTATTTTTTCCAAATTGTTCTTGTCTTTTATTGTATGATTCATCACAAATTCCTTTATCTAATTCAACTTTAAGAATTTTACTAATTCCAATAATTCCTCCATATTTATCATAAATTTCTTTATTATTAGTACTAATCATTTTAGCTAATTCACATCCTTGAATTTCATAATAAGGTGTTCCTTCTGGTTGTCCTGTATATTCTTTCTTTTGTTCTTCTTGTTTTGATATTTTTCCTCCCATTTATTATTTACAATTATTATTATTATTTTTTTTTTTAAAAAAACTTCTTATATTTATATCTCTTTTTTTTTTCTTGTTTTCTTTAAAATATTCTTTCTTAAAACTTAATAAATTTAAAAATCATTCATTTTTTAGAGAGACAAATCATCATTTTCAATTTCTTCTTCACTCATTTCATTTCCATCTTCATTAGTTGATGATGGATTATATAAATTATCATCCATATCAATTGAATTATCAAAATCTTCAAGATTTTCTTTTTTTTCTTCTTGTTCTTCATCAGAAGATTCATTATAAGTACCACCTCTTTGATCTTGTTTTAATTGTTGTTTTTTATCAATTTGAGATAAAAGTAAATTCATTCTTCCATATAATCTTAATAAATGTTTATATGAAAGTGTTCTAC